ACTGCCTTCCCTGATATGGGACACTTCTTCCTGCATTCACCTGCTTTCTGAGCCTTTGTCTCAGGAACCTGTACACCAGCATCCTTCTCTCTCCTGTTTTTCAAACTTCTCTGTCCCCAGTCAGCTCTTACAGCTTTTACTTGCACAAATACAACTCACTGTTTTAATAAAACTGCACCCACCTTCAACCCTCACCCTTTTCAACCCTGCATACCCCTTTAGCCCCTACTCTTTCTCTCAGCTCCACCCCTTAGCCAAACCTGTCTTCTACTACTTCACCTCCTGCCCACCCAGCTCCTTGCTGCAATCTGCCTCTGTCCCCACTACTGTCACCTACCCCTCTGATGGCACCAGGCCCCCTTTCCTGCTCTTATCTTGCAAGGCCTCTTGCAGCTCTGAGTGTGTTGACTATTCCTTCTGGGTTACGAAACCTCTCTCTCCCTCTCTGATATTATCTGACCTCTCCATCCAGTCTGTATTCTTCTCAGTCCCCTTCATGGGCTCCCCTCATCCCTATGCTGTTGCTTCCTAGGAATTTGTCTTGGGGTCTCTTCTATTCTCACTCTACTCTCTCCCTCATGACAGGAGACTCCCTGAAACTGTGGACAGCAGGCTTCACCTGCTGGAATCTTCTGCTGTGCCAACCTCGGACCCAGTGTGTTAAGAATGGACCTCTTCCCTCTCCCCTTCCTCTCAAAATACCTGCCTTGCCTCCTGTACTTCTGGTCTTGCTGAGTGAGGACATTTCCCACCCAGTCACTCCAGGCAAAAGCTGTGAACTATTCAATGCTTCTGTAGCCTCCTTACTTCCCTTTAGCCCACTAGTCCAGTCCAGCTCCTGATAATCTCCTAAAATTGGCCCTTCCTCTCTGTGTCCTTTGGCCCTGCCTTAACTAAACTCTATTTGCTTGGGCAATTCCCAACCAGTTTCCTACCTTGATTTCCCTAATGGGTTACTAGTGATTTTTCTGAAGTGCCAATTTGACTGTATTGCTCCCCTGCTTAAGATCCAACCGTAGATTCAGTACAGATTTCTCAACATCACCCTCAAAGCTCTTGAGGAACTTTCCCTCCCCATCTGGGATCCAGGCAGACCAAATCCCTTCAGCTCTCTGATGGAGATCTCTCTCCACACCTCTGTGTTCTCTCTCTCCCTCCCTCGCCCATTCTCTCCCCTGTGTGTTGGTCTCTCTCTTTCTAAAGTGGTCTCTCTTCCTCTATGTCCGCTAGTACTTAGGCTCACGCGTCACCCCTCCAGGAAATCTTCCCTCTGCTGCACTGGAAGTTCAGAGGCTCACTCTTCTGCATTCCTGCTGGCCAGCTCACACTTCGAGGTCATGTCTACCAATCTTTCCCCTAGTCCCTCTTAAAGGCATGGAATATTGTCTTATTAATACTATTGCCAGTGTTTACTAATGACAGTGACTAATAGTAGTAGAACTACTAATAGAACTGATAATGACTTTTTTTAAAAAGAGAGAGAGAGAGAGAGAGAGGAGAGAGAGAGAATTTTTAAAAAATATTTATTTTTCAGTTTTCGGTGGACACAACATCTTTATTTTATTTTATGTGGTGTTGAGGATCGAACTCAGCATCCCGCGCATGCCAGGCGAGCCTGTTACCCCTTGAGCCATATCCCCAGCCCCTGATAATGACTTAAGCACTAGATTCTGTTTTAGGTTCTTTATGTATACTATGCCATCTAATCTCAAAACAGTTTTATGAGGGGCTGGGGTTGGGGCTTAGCAGTAGAGTACTCACCTAGCATGTGTGAGGTCCTGGGTTCGATCATCAGCACCACATAAAAATAAATAAAATAAAGGTATTGTGTCCAATTACAATTTTAAAAAATAAAATATTTTTAAAAATCTAGTTTTATGAGTTAGGAATTCTTGTGGTTCCCATATTACAGATGAGGAAATTGTGGTGTAAGATATTAGCTTTCCTGAGATCCCTAACAAAAATCTAGTGAGGCTGCTTTTGAATGCAGTCAGATTCCAGAGCTTTCCAAGTGCTTAATGCAATATCTGAAACACAGTCAGCTTTCCAGTTCATATTACTTGCTTGATGGAGCAAATTAATTAAAATAAGAGATCAATGCCTGAAACCACTGTCACTTGCTTGGATGGGTTGGTTGGGGAGGAGGAAGGGACACAGGCATGAGAGTTTCATTTTGAGGGCAGATAGGAAGGTCAGTGCAACTAGGATGGTCCAGTCTGGAGGGGTGTGTTGTCAAAAGAGAAGGAATCTGGTGGCTATGGAGGGAAATGATGCCCTTGGGGCCAACCTAGAAAAGCTGGGAAAAGCTGAGAGGATTTTGGAACCATCAGGCAGTTACCATGACTAAAGTCCTTTAGGCTGTACCAGCCCAAGTGGCCTGAACTCCACACAGCCACTTGGGAGCTCTGACTACACCTCAAGTCCTCCGCACACCTGGGGCAGAGAGCGGAGCATTCATACCATGTCTCCCCCATAGGCCCTCTTATGGTCAAGCACACTGAGAAAACTTGTTAAAGAAGCCACTGAAAGGGGAGAAGAGGTAAACGCACCACAGAGTCATTCATGGGGCTAGGAAAACCCACCATGGCTCCTCTGCCAGGACTTTGGGGACTGAATAAGCCCGGAACTCTAGACCAAATGAACTAATTTACAGGTTCAATTTTTCATTTGATTGCTGAGAACCATTAGTCAGAGGGTGTGTGGATAGGTGTAGGGAACAGGAGAAGCAATTCTGAACCCTTGGCCTGGGGAAGCTGAGTAGAGTTGATGAGCACCTTCCTGTCTGAACAGAAGCAGGGCCGTGACCTCAAGGAGGGACACCTGAATAGACAGATGTGAACACACCTACCATCGACTTGGGGCAGGCCAGATCTAGCAAAGTGAGGTGAGGAGCCTGCAGACCTTTCTAAGACCCAAAGAGAGTTGAGAGCTAATTCCTGACCTGCCATGAATTCCTGTTATGCTTTTAAGAAAGTTACAGTTTCTGTATCTGTAGAATCAGGACCCATGAGGTCCTGGATGCCAGAGTTGGCAGATCTATGTGGATTCATCTGCTCCTCCATCTTCCCACCTCCAGAAAAGAAGACAGTCATTCAGGAGAAGGGATTAAACTGGCCAGAAGACCTCTGTCTAGGAATGTGCTTCACAATTTACAAAGCATCTTAGAATCGACTTTCTCATTTTATCCTCACAGCAACCCTGCAAGTGGAGGTGGGCCTGGCACCACTATTGCTATCATCTTATTCCCAGGGAAACCAGAGTCTCACCATGAAGTCAAGAGCTCTTTGCTTTGTATCATGCAATGGTGCTGGATGTTGTAGACTCCAAAATATCAGCCCAAAGAACCTGAGGGTGTTCTGCGCATATGCTGGTGGACAGGAGGACCAGAGCAGGAGCCATGGCTGCTTGCTCCACTGCCTGAGCAGTTTTTTTGCTGTGGTTTGTGGGTGGGAACCCCTACTTGGGCCCATGGGTGGGCCTCACTGGGATGTTGGGAGGTGAGAGGAAGTTCCCTCAGAATCTAATCTCAGGGTGCACTATCACAGTGGGATGAACTCCATGTTCTGAGTCTGGGGGATGTTGAGCTGAAGGGGAGCTTTGAGATCATCTAGCTCCTCTGACAAAAGGGGGGAAACAAAGCTAGATGGACTTTTCTAAGTGAAAAAAAAATTACAGAGTATGAATTTTAAAAGCAATTTTGGGGTGGAAGAGGGAAATCATTTGAAAGGTGGACTGGAAAGACAGGCGACTAGTATCTACATTCCCCTGGGTAGCCTGCCCATTCTTCCCTCTCCAATGATAGTCAGGGGTAGGACAGGAGGACAGTGACTAAACAGAGGAGGACACAAGACAAGCAAGGTGCCACATTTCTGTCCTGAGGGTGAGGAGCCACCTGGAATACACCACTGATGAGATAGTGACAGAGCCCACAGAAATGTTGAAGACACTTAAAAGGGACAGGCACACTGATACAGGGTGGAGTAGGGTGTGCAAGCTTCTATACTTCCTGGACCAAGCAGCCCAGTATGGGGAGGGCTGGGGAGGTGCAGGCCTAGGTGGCCACTATGAGAAAAAACAGAAGGGAGGAAGAGGACTGGGGGCAAGCAAGCAAAACAGAGAGGAGGTAGAGGAGGAGGGTGAGGAGCCAGATGAATCTGCAGAACTGCAGAGCAGGTGAGGAGTGGACAAGAGCCCACAGGAAGATGTTCCACTTTTCTGTATTTTGAGATTTTCCAAATTATCTGTGAGGGAGATGTAGATTTGTAATGGTGATTTATTTATTTTTCCTCATGAGTCTGGAGATTGAACCAAGAGCCTTGCAAATGGAGTAATGATAGCTTTTAAAAAAACTCAAAGAAAGCGGTGGTGGTGGGGGGAAGGACCAAAATGATATAAAATGTTAGAAAAGATTTCCTCTGAGATGGGGAAGCTACTGATGGTTTTTCTTTCATTTTCTTCCACTGCTCTGTCCTTCCCAAATTATCAAGAATTATATGAATGATTCTGATAAACACAGGGGAAAAGAGTACCAGAGTACGAAAAAGAGAGAAAGGAAATGAGACTGAGGAGGGCTAGGGAAACAAGGAGAGGATGAAAGATGAGGAGGAAGCAAGAGGGGAAGGACCAGGTTAGGAAAAGTAGGGCCTGCTGCCCGGGAGCAACCCGCTATGAAGAGGCCTCCTGGCGGCATTGGGTAATGGGGTCTGTGGGGTGAATGTTTGATGAAAAGCCCTGCCATGCTGGATGCTCTCAGGTCAGCAGCAGAAAATCCTGCTGTGCAGCTTCTGGCAGTTGGCACTGCATTTTCTGTCCTCTCAGCCCATCCAGGACACCCTCACCAGACCTACCTCTGGGGGAATCCTTAATTCCGGAGAGGAAGCTGTAGAGGGAATCATGGCGGACATATCGTGTGGTTGAGGTCCTTTAGAGGGAAAAGGGAGGATCTAGCCACACAGCTGGCAGCCAGGCTAGTAGCAATAAGTGGCTTGTTAGCATAGGAGAAGACAACTAAAGACATCTTTATTGTTTGTTCCCAGGGTGGGAACACCAGGACAGGGGTGGAGCCAAGAGAATGCAATCAGGAGTAGAAAGGAACAAGATGGAGCTACAGGGGGTCGGGGGACTGGTGAGAGCTATGAGAGGGCAAGGTAGGGCTCAGGATGCTGTAGCTGCAGCAACAAAGATGTCCTTGTAGCCCTTGATCTCCTTGACCTCCTTGCTGCTGATGAGGACTTGCAGCTGGCGGGGTCCAGTCTTGATAGGGTAGAAGTCCACTTGAATTCGGATGGTGTGTCCAGCCATCAGAGTCCCAAGACTGAAAGTCAAGGAGAGCTGGGAACTGTGACTGGTTGGGTGGGTGATCAGGACCCCTCCCGCTCTCCAGCACCACCAAGCTCCACCTTTCCTGAGGAAGGTGGGATAATGGGAGAAAAGAGGCACCATCCAGAGACTGAGAAGAGTCCTATGATTCCCATGAGGCACTGCTTCTCAGAGATCAGCTCAAGAGGTGGATGGATGGCTTTACTTACTCTTTTACTATCTGCCCGTTGATGAGGCCACTTCCCTCCAGCACCATGATGCAGTTATTCAGGGCCACCCTTAGGGTATTGGTGAGGGTGATGTGGACTCTCAGGATATTGCCCACTTCAGCCCTCTCAGAGACCTGTGTAGAGAGGAGCACAGGTATCCTGGGCAGCTAGCCTCATCTCTGTACTCTATTTAATGACCTTCCTCCCCCATCCTGCTCGTGACCACCAGGGACTGCTATTCAGAGCTTCAGTGATACAGTTGGGAGAGAAAACTAAGAGCTGAGGATGTTTGAGATTAACACACTGGCCTCTTTTAGAAGGTCAAGATACCTCAGGAAGCTACCACCAATCAGGAATAGGAACAAAGTTAAAACCTCTTTCCCTCTCCTCCATCTAGTTCAAGATACCTATTAGATTTCAACTGAAGTGCCAGCTGCAAAGAGTTAGTGGTAGCTAACAGCAATTCTGCGTTAAACAGGATCCCAAGGATAAATCCAAAACAATCATAGTGGATTAGTAGTGTCTGACCCAGTTACAAGATAAAGAAGGAGTGTCATGTGCCACCCATGTGCTATCAGTGACATCATTCCACCCTTTTGCTCCATCAGGGAAGAAACAATGAAGCCCATGGACCTGACACAGCAGGCCCAGACCCCAGACCAAGTTCTATCCCCTGTGCGGGGTACCTCCATATACATCATCAGAACACACTCTTGAGTTTTTCTAGGTGTGTTCAGAGCTTCACTCTTGAGGTTGGTGTCATGGGTTGACAAGCCTTGGCCTGTGAGTGGGAGGCAGGGATTCTGTCCTACTCATTTCTAGAACCCCTGTGCCTATGATTGTGCCAGCTACATGATGGATATCAGTAAAGGAGTCATGAGCTCTGATCACCCCAATCACAGTAGGGGCATGTTCAGGCTTGGCCAGAGAATCAAGGAGAAGAAATAACACACCCTGACTTATCTGGAATTCAAATAAAGAACCAAGTCCCTAATGAGGATGTCCAAGTAAAATAGGTTAAAATAACTTTAGAATCCAGCAGTCACACAAATCATTCCTAGGTCACCTACTGATGGGGACCAATTCACAGCCCACCTGCCATTCTGCTATGTTGCTTCAGGGCCCTGTTGCAACCAAAGCTGTCCTCCAGGTAGCAAGCAGGGGCCCCATCTCAGCACTAGGCTTGTGTCTGCACGTGGGCCTACTACTTGCCCCACCACCGAGGCTGCCCAGTATTACTTGGCCAACTACCTGACTGTGGGCCCAGGTGAAAACCATGGAGTGGGCCAGCAGATTTATGATCAGATCTAGAGCCTCCCAAATATCTTTCTGGGTGGGGTGGGTCCTGATGTTGACAAAGCCACCAGGTATAGAGCCAGGTTTGGACGAGACAGTGGAAAAGTCTTTGGGAGTGGGAGGGATAGTGGGGTAAGGAGCCTCCAGGGAAGGAAAATACTCATAACAGGAAATGAGGAAAACCCCTGCCCTCCTCCACTTCCCCTTCATTCCTTCCGAATGCAAGAGCCGTATCAGGATCTTGCCCAGGTTGCTCCCAAACCTGAAATCTGAGGCTCACTTCTCATTTTTCTTATCACCCTTATTAGCGTCACCTTTTGAATTTCACCTTATGGTCTCAGATCTGCCTGCTCAACTGCATCTCCTAGTCACTGCCTGTCTTGTTTCTTTGCCTTTGGAAAGCAGTTTCCTTATTTAAAATGACTTCATGTTCATCTCATTTCTCCAGACAGCACCTTCTTGTGCAGCCTACGCAAACCGTCCCCTCTCTGAGATGTTTCCAGGTCTTGCTCTGTACTCTATACAGAGCATAAGAGTCAACACCATACCGTGTTGGTGTCTGAGGCTGGCACAGTGTTTTGTTTGCTACTGAACCCTCAGCCCCTGTGTTTGTGAGTCAGAGACCCACTGGGCCCCCATCTCTGTCCAGAGATCTCACCTCAATAGATAAGAGGGGAGGCTCCAGAGAGAGATCTTTTATGACCAGCATGGACCGCCTTGTCTCTTCAACTTCAGCAATGCCAGACACACGGATCAACTTTTCATCAGTCAGCTTATTTCTGTAGTTGTTGTAGGGCAGGAGGAGCGGCCATTGTATCTCTTGAGTACAGATAAAAGAAGAAGAAGAAGAAGAAAAAGAAAAAAAACACGGAGCTGGAGCTGGAGCTGGAGCTGGAGCTGGAGCTGGAGCTCAGAAGCAGAGCTCTTGCCCAGCATGTGTGAGCCCCGGGTTTGACCCTCAGCACCACATAAAAATAAATAAAATAGAGGCATTCTGTCCATCTACAACTATAAAAAATATATATTTAAAAAAAGAAAAGAAAAACACACACACACAACAACAACATTCCGAGACTAGGGAATGGGTAAGAGATTTGAAACAGGGTGGGAGAGAGTGGGGAGGAAGAGAAAGAGAACGAGAGAGAACATGCTTACCCTGAGACTGTCCCCATAGCTCACTGCTATGTATCTCCTGGTGGGATGGCATCAGAAGTATAACAGCTGGCATTCGACTTCCTACCAATGACGGCAGCCTCACTGTGCAGCGTGTGTGTGTGTGTGTGTGTGTGTGTGTGTGTGTGTGTTGGTGGGGTGGGGGCAGGGATTCTCTGTGATCTGACTGGAACAGCCCAATCTTGTTCATGGACCCAAAGCTCCCCTCCCTATAGGTGCCTTCTCAGGCCTGCCTCATACTCACCCTTCCCAACACTCACCCTTCCCAACGTCCAGGCTCAAGTGCACCATCTGCCTCCAAAGGGGCTTCCGAGTGCCACCCCCATGCAGCAGGGGCTGTGCACAGAAGCGCACCACCAGTCTGATGGGACCCCTGGGGTGGGCTCTCTCTGGTACCCTCCAGACATGCAGCATAAGCGGCACGTCTTGGCCCCACACTGGCATCCTGGCCAGGTGAAGCTGCAGCTGCACTGGTTGATCCTCAAAGACCCTGGACCCCAGGAGATCCAGGAGGAGTGATGAAGCTCCCTTTGGTCCCAGCATTTTCCGGGAAGCCTTCATGAATACAGACCGCTCCTCAGGGGATCCTGGCAGAAAGAGACACAGCAAAGACATCCATGGGGAGGGGTGGAAAGAACCAATGACCTTCCTGGGGAAACTAGCAACTCAACTCCCAGCTCTCCTCCTGAGGCTCAATTCTGTCATCTGTACCTGCTTTCTTCATACAGATGAATATATATATTGGGTTAAGTGAGTTGTTGAACGTAAGTACTCAGCACTACTCTTTGTCATCAATATTGCCACCAACAACACCATCATCATCATCAAGGCCAGAGGCTTCTCCCCCGACCAGGATCTTTCCGAAGACATACATTAAGCCTTTTAAATACAGCTTCATACAATTCACAATAGCTAAACTATGGGGCCAACCTAGGTGCCCTTCAACAGATTAATGGATTTAAAAAATGTGTTTTATACACACACACACACACACACACACAAAATGGAGTATTACTCAGCCATAAAGAATGACCTTGTGACATTTGCAGCTAAATGAATGGATCTGGAGACTATCATGCAAAGTGAAATAATCCCATCTCAAAAAAACCAAAGGTCAAATGTTTTCTCTGATATGTGGATGCTAACCCACAATACGGGGGAAGGATAGAAGTTCAGTGGATTAGACAAAGGGCAAAGAGAGGGAGGGGGAATAGGAAAAGGAAAGACAGGAGAATGGATCTGACATAACTTTTGTATGTACATACATACACCACAGTGAATCTCACCATTGTGCACATCCACAAGAAATTAATTTAAAATAAAAATAACTATGGGCAAATGGCAGAAAGATCAACAGAAGGAGGGCAATCTGGGATGGGGAAAGCAAGGAAAAGGAGAGATACTGGGGTCCTGATTAGAATAAGATATGTTCCTTGCTTGTATAATTACATCAAAATGGACTCAACTGTCATGTATAACTAAAAAGAACCAATAAATTTTAAAAATAAGTAAAAAGGAACATTAAAAAATAAATGAATAAATAGTCCAACATAGTGGCACATGTCTGTAATCCCAGCAGGAGGATGGTGAGTCCAAAACCAGCCTCAGAAAAGTGCGGCGCTAAGCAACTCAGTGAGACGCTGTCTCTAAATAAAATACAAAAATGGGCTGGGGTGTGGCTCAGTGGTTGAGTGTCCCTGAGATCAATCCCTGGTACCAAATAAATAAATAAAGTAAGCTTCAACCCTTGCCCTTGGTGGCTACTCAACATTAAGGCTGGACCCAAAATATTCCCATACTGTGGACTCCTCTAGAGCAGTTACTGTGTGCCAAAGGTCCGTTCCCTGTGCATTCTGTGAATTCTTCATTTAACCCTCTGAGGTACTGTTATCCCATTTTACAGATGAGTAAGTGGAGGCACAGGGATGGTAATACTGTTCAGCTTTCGTGGCTAGAGCATGGCAGAGCCTTCTTTAGTTCTCAGGTGACCTGACTCCACCCCAGCTCTCTTTATGGGGATGTCCACTCCCTCCCACAGGCCCTGAAGCCCTTTCCTTCTGAGTGTCCATCTTCCCCACTACTGCTACCGCTACTGCCAGGGACACAGAAAGATGATGGTATAACACTGAGAAGAGTTACCAAATAAAATATAGGATATCTAATTTAAATTGAATTTGTTGATGAACAACAAATAATTTTTAATATTTGCATGCAATGTTTGAAACATACTAAAAATCACACCCAGTTAAATTTGCATTTCAGATAGTGAATACTTTTTAATATGTCATATATACCATTGGGTATCTACTTATACTGAATTTCTTTTGTTTATCTGAATTTATCTGGAATACAAATTTAACTGGGCACCCCGTATTTTTATTTGCTAAATCTGACACCCATACCTGAGGGTCACATGCCCAGGGTCCAGGATAGTCCCCTAGGAGGAGGAAGTGAATACATGGTGATGGTTTAAACCTGAAGCCATCTAAGTTGGGGAGCAGTAGAAAGGTGTTTTCACCCGTCCCCTCCTCTCATCCCCTGCCCAAGCACCTTCTGGATACTTGTAGGAGCCAGTGATGTCTTGGTGCTGGTCTGACCCTACCATCTTGGTGCTAATCTCCTTCCCGATGGAACTGGTGTTGTGGGCCAGGATTTCCTGGGCCTCGCCGTCCCTGAGGAGCCAAATAACTTCATCGGCATTCACCTCGGCATACACAAAAGGGGTGTCATACGCCAGGTGGACCTCCCCTTCCTTAATGGCCCTCACAGAGGCAGGGCCACAGCAGAACAGCCCTGTGGAGGCAACAGAAATTGTGGGATATGACTCTGACACCTGGACCAATGCAATTAGTCATGGCCATGGGAAGTGGGGAAAAGGGTGGGCAGTTGACACTGATGACCTGTCCCCTTGGGGGGTCCCCCTGGTACCAAGCACTTTTGAGCCCATTAATTCATGTGATCCACCTTCTGAAGAGGCCTTTGCCATTACCATCTTCCCCATGTCACCGGTGAGGAAAGAACAGAGCAGCCCAGTGACTATCTGGGTGATCCCTCTGTCAGTCATAAGGTTAGACCCAATCCAAAGCTGTCTCAGCTATGACTCTGGGGAGGGGGTAAAGTGAGAACACATGGCTCCTCTCTGGCCTCCTGTTCTCATGGTCAGTCACCCTTGTTGTCCTCCTGGGATCCTGCCACCTCACGCACCGCTGCTGGTTTGCTGGGGAGTGGGGTCCAGAACCTGCCACCCATTGTATCCTGGTGGGAGATCTTTTCGGATCATCCAGCACTCATTCCAGACATGAAAGTTCCTGTAGAAGGGAGAAAACAGACTGGACTTAATTTCCTAAGGATCTACCAGGTACCCAATACTAGGCAGAGTGCTTCCTATCATTGTTTCTTTTCTTTTTTTTTTCTTTTGATTAGAAAGTAATTTCAACCTTAAAGTTGCAAAAAAAAAAAAAGTACAAAGAACACCTATATACCCAATTCATCTATTATCAACATTTTCTTTATTTACTTTCTTTCAATATTGATACAGATATGTACATTCATACTTCAGTATGTATTTACTAAATATAGCGATCTTCTCTTACATAACCCTGTGCAGTTAACCAAACTTAGCACCTCTTCAGAAGGTGGATCACATGAATTAATGGGCTCAAAAGTGCTTGGTACCTGGGGGACCCCCGAAGGGGACAGGTCATAATACTTTTATCAAATTTATTGTCTATATTCCAATTTTGTCAGTGGACCTAATAACGTCCTTTATAGCATCCTTTCCCAGCCAGTATAAAATTTAGTTTAGGATCACATTGCATTTAGTGGTCAAGCACCTTTAGTCTCCTTTGATCTTAGAACAGTTCCTCAGCCTTTTCTTCGTTTATTACATTGACATTCTGAGAACAGTATTTGTTTATTTTACCAGAATGGCTCCCATTTTGGGCTTGTCTGATCTTTCCTCATGATTAGATTCAGGTTATTCATTCACAGACATAATTCTCCATAATATGTCACTGCTTCTTGGGTCAGAGACAATTCACATTGAAGTATTTATTCCTCCCTGTCTGGGGCACAGCAAAGATCTGTTCCAGACAGTTCCCCTCACCATATTTTGTCTTGTTTCTCAGATGGCAGCATCTCTGCATTTTGGTCATAGTAGGTATCAATCGTCAAGTTCCCATCCATGTTGTGTGCAGAGTGGAAATTAGAAACCACACGAGTTGGAACACCTAAGCATCTCATTACTAATGAGAAGAAAAAGAAGAAAGAATTGCTAAGCGCAAGTCAAGCAGAATTACTGTTTTGCATAATTTTGCATAACTTCTAACTTTCAAGCTGGTGAGAAAAAAGAGTCAATATTCTTGTAGGTCCACACCTGAAATAACTCCTTTATTCCCAGAGCACCATACCCAGGCCCAGAACCCTGCTATGTACCTGCCCCATCAATGGTGTCCATCACACAAGAGAAAGAAATAATTTGATGGTCACTTAAAACAGTAATTAATGGATCAATTTATCATTTAGGGCGTTTTCTACACAGCAACTGTCCAAGTTAAAAACAGAAAACCTAAAACATCTAATTAGAAAGAAATTTAAATCTATGGCCAGTTTCCAAAGAGAAGCTGAGTGACCTTAATTAAGTGCCTTAACTTCTCTGGGTTAGTTTTCTTGCATGTAACAAAATGGAGTTGGACTAGATGATTTTCAGTTATAAACTTCTGGGTCTAACTGGGCACAGTGCCTATAATTCCAGCAACTCTGAAGTCAGGAAGCTCAGAAGTTCAAGGCCAACCTTAGTGAGAACCTGTTTCAAAATAAAAAGGACTAGATATGTAGCTCAATGGCATAGCACCCCTGGATTCAATCGCCAGTACAAAGAAATTTTAAAAATTAAATTAAATTCTGGATCTGTGGGGCGAGGGTTGTGGCTCAGGGTAGAGCATTTGCCTAGCATGCTTGAGGTGCTGGGTTTGATCCCTGGCACCACATAAAACTTTAAAAAACAAATAAAATAAAGGTATAAAAAAATTGGGATCTGTAATTTTACTTGAAGACAAGAGTTGGGGGAGAGAAGTAGGACATTAGAGAATGGATGGAAGGATATGGTAGACTTTTAGAGATACAATAGAAGATGCCATCAGAGACAAGGAAAAACCATCCGGAGGCAGTGACCATCTTTGATAAGGCAGCAGCGCCCTCTTGTGGCTTCTTAGGATAGTACTACAAAGGCTTTTTAAAGCTGAATTAAGATGCCACAAATCTAGAACACACACACACACACACTCAACCTGCCCAGAGTCAGATGAAATCAAGCCAACAGCCAGGCGTGACTTTGTAACCTTGTTTAACACTTTGGTCCCATCCCGTCTGTCTCCTTCTCAGGAGGAGCAGCCGGTGCCAACTGACACTGCTGGGAAGTGCACAATGCTTTGAAGTGTAAGAGGACTGCTGAAAGAGATCAATCCTTTTGTTTTGATTCGCTGAAGAGCCGTCAAGAAGTCTATAGTCACCTATCCAATCCTAGCACAGTTCCTGTGAACAAGGCCTGGGCTGTAAATGGCCAGAGGCAGTTGGCAAGAGCAGCTGTTCCCACTCAGTGGCCTCAGAACTGGCCTGTGAGGGGACTGGGCTTGGAAATGGAGCCAGGTTGTGGACCTAGTCCTTCTCCTTCTGACCCCAGAGTCTGAAGACCTGAGCCTATCTCCATAATACCTGCCTGGCCACTGTGGCAGACTTCCCAGGCCAAGGCAAAACTAAGAATACTAAGTTCTGGCAGAGTCTCAGCCCCATTTCACAAATAGGCAAGGGAGGCCACTTGATTGGACACTCAGATTTAAACCTCTTCTCTCTTTGGAGCACCTGAATGTAACTGCCGGTCTATGCTGACCCTCTCAGAAAAGCCTAGAGCTTTGGCCCTTGTCTCTGTACTTTCTGTCCTGTGCTCCTGCCTTCTCCAACATAGAGTCAACCTGTTAGTTGAGCAAATGTATCCTGGGCACCACGGTATGACAAGGCAGCCATGTGGAAGGTCTGCTGGCCTTACATGGGGGAGACAGGCAGACCTCTGTCTCTCTCTCGAATTCACAAATAATCTGGCCAATGACTTTACCCTGAATTGTAAATAACTGATAATGCATAAAAGTCTCAATGCTCCTTAAATATAACTAGCAAGGTAATACATCTCTAGTTGCCATTCCTCATGAGACAGAAGCCTCCATGAGGTAGCTATCCCAGACCATCTGCTTGCACCCCAGCTCTCTGACCTTGTTCCTTGACTCCAGGCTCACTTTGAGCTAAGAAGCCAAATGGATGGCAGAAAGAAGCCATTTTACCTCTGCTTTGAGACTACAAGCTGCTTTATCCAGGTGGCTATGTTAACAATCTCACTATGCCATCAAGGAGACCATGGAGTGACTGCAACAAGCTGACCCTCTAAGACTGCGTAGCACATTGGTTAAGAGCATGCATGCCCACAACTCCATGGCTGTGGGGCCATGAGCAAGCTACTGAAACTTTATGAGCCCAGTCTCAAAGGGACATGGTGAAGATTGAGTGATTCTTCACTCACCAGTGCACATAACAGAGGCAAAGACCCAGCACTGTCCATACTTCACAGGCTGCCCACCCCTGGCTGACCACTGCCGCAGGATGGCCACACTGCCGTTCCACTCCAGGGGGCTGACGCCCTTGGAGTAATCCTCTCCCCAGTTCCCTTGCAGCACGCCGCTGTCATCATTGCTGTTGATCTGCAAAGCACAGACAAGTGGGTTTCCATAGGGCCAGGGGAAACTCAGACTATCCTCAGACAGGGGCAGGAAGCCTCTATCCTTACCATGGCGCTCACCACCCTGCACACATACACCACATCATTCCGCTGGGAATAGTCTTTGGATGGGTTCTTTAAGAAGTACAGGCTCTTGTTCAGGATCTCAAAACAGATATCTATGATGTCTTCTTCAAACTTCCAAGCCATTTCAAGAGAGAAAAGAGAGAAGAGCAAAAATGTCTAGAATTCTGAAACTTTGAGTCCCTGGCAGACTTTTAGGGAGGGTGTGTATGTGGTGGGGATGTAGGGGCTAAAGATAAGACAAGGTCCTGCCTTCCATGAGCTTATAAACCAAATTGGGAATGTATTAAATTTGGAATTGTGAAAAAGTAAACTAGGTGGCTCTGATAGAAAATGCAGAGAATGCATTTTGACTGAAGAGAGCAGAGAAGGATTTGAACTAGTGGGCTTGGATGGATGGGGTAGACAGAAAGTGAGGAGAGTGAGGAACATCTACCTGAGGTCTTTGAGCATGGTAGGTCCCAAGGACTTAGGTAGTCCCTTATCTGGTGGACTTGTGAGACCAAAAAAGGATCAGATGGATCCGTAGGGATAGGGCCAACAGGGGGTGGGGGGAAAGATTGTGACAGGTTTTGAAACCAGGTAGAGGAGCTCAGAGCTGACTCTGTGAACACTGGAAAGTCCAGTGTAAACTTCTGACATAGGTTTGCAATGTGTGTTTGTGGCATGTGTCTAATACACTGGTATCATCTCAGTTTCAAATTTTCCACAAGTTGCCATACTTGGAGAATGGATTTCCTTCAGCAAGGCTCCCAGAGCTTACCCAACTCTTCCCCCTGTGGTCTGTGCACAGGACTGAGGTAAGAAAGAAAGAAACTATACGCACCGCGGTTGGTGATAGGAATGGAAGTTGTTCAAGCCCAAGAGCCCTCTGTACAGGACTGAATATTTGATGTTATTGAAGAATTACTATTCCTCTTTTTGATTATTGTGGATTTTTCAAAAGGAATCATTTTTTGGAGACATATTCTGAAGTATACTGGATTGAATGATAAGGTTTTGCAATTTGCTTAAAAAAAAATTCATGGTGAAAAAAGGATTAAAGGAGTAAAGACCAGAGATGGGCGTGTCTTTCTGGGCAAGGGCAGGTATTAAGCATTTCAGCCTTAGCAGGTCATGGCCTCTGTTTCAATAACTCAGTTCTGCCATTGAGCACAAAAGCATCCCCAATCTCCAAATAAACAAGCATGGCTGTGTTCCAATAAAATGTTATTGATAGACACCAAGATTTGAACTTTGTATAATTTTCAATGGTTCTTGTGAAATTCTTTTCAACAACTTTCAAATGTGAAAAACATTCTTTATTTGTGGGCCATACAAAACAGGCTGTAGGCCACAACTGACCCATGAGCTATCATTTGTCAAACCATAAATTGGTCACTAGTGGAAACTAGTGGAAACTGAGAGATAGGTACATGGACATTTATTATACTCACCTGTCTACTCTGAATATGTTTTAGCTTTCCATAAGAACATAAAAGGTGAAAAAGGAAGGGTATCTCCCTCCCCCTTCTTCCTTGTCCCTCTCACTGGAAGGGAAATTGACCCAGCAGCTCATACTGTACCCTTTGTTGCTGTCCTTCATGAACTAACAGAGTTGTAGTGACCAGCCTTAGGAACCCACCCCAGGGGATCCTATTACCTGCCCGTAGTTCCAGGGCCAGGAGGTGACGAAACTTTCACGACCCTTGTAAACAAAGCCATAATCCTTCATGATATACTCCTGCAGCAATATTTCACTTGGCAGGTACACGTCGTCCTCTGAGCAGTAAAGAGTCGCAGAGAGAACAAAACCCCAAACCAAAAAACAGAGCAATACAATTAAAAACCAGTAATGACAGTAGCTTTCTGAAAATCGGAGGAGTAGTCAGTGAATTGATGGCAACAGATATTAACACTGGATCCCCTTAAAAGTTTAGCATGTGCTTCTCCAGAGGCCAGAAATGTAATTTATACTTTAAAAAATATAGATTGTAAAATTTATAAGCTTATTAAGGTTTTCAAAACTATTGATGGACAGAAAAAAGACAATGAAAATCATTCATTCCCACTATTCAGAGACACCCATCATTACATTGTAATATATTCCGTCCACTTTCTTTCTATGACATGTATTTAATACGATTACAAGCATATCATTTTCCAATTTCGGAACTAATTTTGTTTGAGGTCATCCTATGAATATTTTCATGGTGCCATTAAAATTTCTTGATAAAGGTGATGTTTAGTTCGAGCACATGATACTATGTTACATTGATATAGACTACAATTTATTTTCTAAGCTTTCTCAAGAGTTCTCCATGGATCAGGTTAGCATTATAACCTTTGAGCAAGTCCTACCTGCACTCCATGGGTTAAAAAGCAGGATGAAATTCCCCAGTGGGTAAGTCACACTTTGACCTTGGTCCCGAGAGATCTCTATTTTCAGAGTGTAGTGGCCAATGACTGCATTGGCTGGTGTAAAAAGCGAGACTTGGAGAGAGTTGGAGTCAATGGTGAAGTCAGAAGCACTCCAGACTTTCTCTTGCCGGGCCTGTGTAAGTAAGAATGAGGCTCGTGTTCCCAGCAGCTCTGTGGGCTCAGGTCCTATGTAGGAGAAAATGACCCCAAAGGGAGGTTCAAAAATCTATGTGGTATACACATGCATATCAGATAGAGCACTAATCTCCAGGATATATAAAGAACTCAAAAAACTTAACACCAAAATCATCATCATCATCATCATCATCATCATCATTCAATCCAATGGGATAACAAACTGAACAAACACTTCTCAGAAGATATACAATCAACAAATATATGAAAAAATGTTCAACATTTCTAGCAATTAAAGAAATGCAGATCAAAACTACTCTAAGATTTCATCTCACTGCAGTCAGAATGGCAATCATCAGGAATACAGACAACAATAAATGTTGGCAAGGATGTGGGGGAAAGGTATATTCATACATTGCTGGTGGGACTGCAAATTGGTGCAACCATTATAGAAAGCAGTACGGAGATTCCTCAGAAAACTTGGAATGGAACCATCATTTGGCCCAGTTATCCCACTTCTTTGTTTATACACAAAGTACTTAGAATCAGCATACTATGTGATGCAGCCACAGCAATGTTTTTAGCAGGTCAACTCACAATAGCTAAACTATGGAACCAACCTAGATGCCCTTCAACAGATGAATGGATAAAGGAAATCTGGTAGATATACACAATGGAATATTACTCAGCCTTAAAGAGGAATGAAATTATGGGATTTGCAAATAAATGGATGGAACTGGAGAATATCATGCTAAGCAGAAAACCAAAGTCCAAATGCTTTCTTTGATATGTGGATGCTGATCCATAATGGGGGGCAGGGGCAGGGGAAGAATGGAGGAACTTTGGATTGGGCAGAGGGGAGTGAGGGGAGGGAAGAGGGCATGAGGGTAGGGAAGATGGTGGAATGAGAAAGTCATCATGAATGGTGTGATTTTACATTGTATACAATCAGAGATATGAAATGGTGTGCTCCATTTGTGTACAATGAATTGAAGTCATTCTGCTGTCACGTATAACTAATTAGAACAAATTAAAAAATAAAATAAGAAAACAGGAATATTACCTATCAGGAATATTACCTATTTTTTAAATCTTTGTGGTATAGGATTCCTGTGGCCTGGAAGAATCCTCACCTTTCCCATTACTTGCTAAGTCCTTTAGTTTAATGCTTTTACTGCCATTGAGAGTCTTTGGGTAAACCACTTTAGATCTCTGTGCCTTTGTTTCACTTTTTTTCCTCCTTATCTGTAAAATGGAGATTATAATAGCACCTACCTGAAAGTTTCTCATGGGGAATAGATGGGATCATGGGTGAGTGCCTATGTACTTAAAATTGGGGTGTTATGACCACAACTTCAGAGTTTGCTGAGCTGGCCAAATCTTTCCTTAACAGCAGGGTACTGAGCATGAGGGTCCTGGGGTATCCCAGGAGAAGAGGGGTGAGAGCTCCTCAGAAAGAAGAGGCAGGGATCCTGCAGACCAACTCTGCTGATGTCCACATTTTGAGGGAATGCACAGAGCCTAGGAGGGCGAGCTCACCGGTCTCAGCCACAAAGGTGATGGAGTCTGTCTGGGGCTGGAAGGGTCTGTTGAAGTTCAGCTGGAGGTTGAAAAGTTGACCTCTGCGCACAATGAGCCGCTTCAGGCCCATCTCCTGTGTGTGGTGCCCTTTGTTGTTCCTGGGGCTCTGCAGGTCAACAGACCTGAGCTCCAAGGCTGCCACTAGGGGAGAAGAAGGGATGGGTAAATGCCCAGCTGTGACTCTCTGGGTATAGGTGTCCCCAAAGTTTCTCAGTCATTTCTGTAGAACCTGACTCTGACAGGTAATATTCCTGTTCATTCTTAGCCCTTCTGCCTCCCTGCTTCCTAATTTCATGACTCAGCCTCAGAGGGCAATTCAGTAGGCCCTGGCCAGTGATGAGGAGGATTTCCATTCTGATAACCTCCACACCTGGACCCGGAGCCACAGTGCTGGAGGATTAGGCTACCCAGAAGACAAAATGATTCCAGATAACTGAAATTTACTTTATGATCCTGCTGACATAAGAATAAACATATTAACATTTTGTAGAAATGAAGTTGAGCTGACTGGAGGCTGGGGCCTCAACTCCAAGGCATGTTCCTATTTTAGGACATGAGGCAGGCTTAGGGTTATTTGTAACTTATTGCTTGCTTCTCAGTCATGTTCCAGGTCTCTGAGGAGGGCCCTGACTGCTTTCTAGGAAGTACATGTAGTGTATGATAGTGAAAGTCTCGTAGCATGCTGGCTCTGGAGTGACACAGCCCCAGGTTACCACCTTGGAAAGTTTCCTGTGAGACCTTGAACAAGCCACTTATGTTGCCAGACATCAGTGTCCTTATCTGAAAAATGGGGAGGCAATCATATTTCAACTTCATGGAAATGAGAAGGTCATTAATACCCACGTATTAAGAAGCCTCAGATTGCACACTTAGCTATTTTTGCAGATGTATACTGTGTTTACTGTCAATGAAAACCTGTTAAGTCTTTCCCTTAGTAGAACACCAAATTGTCCTAGTGAGGGCTGGGATTGTAGCTTAGTGGTAGAGCACTTGCCTCGTAAGAATGAAGCACTGGGTTCGATCCTCAGCACCACATAAAAATAAGTAAACAAAATAAAGGTATTGTGTCCATCTACAACTAAAAAATAAAATATTAAAAAAAATTATCCCAGTGAACCGCAACAGGAAATCTCCCCCACCCAGGGCATTTGGAAATGTCTGGAGACATTTCAGTTGTCATGACCGGAGACAGGCTGCTATTAGGATCTAGTGGGAAAAGGCCAGGGATGTGGCTAAATAGCATCCTAGAGGAAAAACTCTCATTTGCTCCCAGTTAGTTTTTGTACCCTTTGCATTCTGAACTTCCACAAAGGTTAGTTCTGTTTTTCCATCTCTCCTGTCTGAAGTTTTTGAATCCTGATTTTTTTTTCACCCAAATATTTTACTTGGCCATCTGTGGATTGGCAAAACTGTCTTTCTCCAATTAATTGGTAATAAGATGGTTCTGAGCACCAGGGCTTAAGTTGGGAGGCCAATGGAGTATCCTCAGAACTGTCCTCCAGGTTGACACTGAGCTATTAGGAGTACTCTGGGTATAATTGTTCAACTAGCTGTGACTATATTTAATTCTCTATGTAAAAATAGTTGAATTAGATATTTAAAAATTTTAGTTGAAGTCTAAAATCAAACACAGCTTTCACATTTCTGTCTTTCCCATAAGTTTATCAAATGTTTAGCTGAAAACAGAATGTTCACTGAGGTTTCTTGATCATCCTGCTGGGAACAATCTTCCCTTGGGGTAGATTCATCAAAGGTGAATTACTGAACCAAATGATACAAAGTTTTTAAGCCTCTTGATGTAATTTGGCCACTTAAATGGATATGCCATTGAAACCAGAAAATTCAGGAAAAGATCTAAGACAGGTGGCTTTCAGTTTCTCAACAGCAATTTTTAAACTTCAGATCCAACCCATTAGTAGTTTGTGGAATAAACTTGGAAAAAAAGGTGATCACTATTAAGAAAAATAGGTTAGAAAATATCACAATGCATCACACATAGGAAGAACAAGGATACTTTTTAAATTTTATTTTTATTGGTACATATCATGATACACAAAAGTTGGATTCATATTCATACTTGCACATTACATAATTTGATAACCTCATAATCTCATTCCCCATACCTTCCCTTTCCATCCCTTCCTCCCTCCCCTATTTGTTCTACTCTACTGATCTCCCTTTTGTTATTATTATTTTAATTAGTGCATTATAATTGTGTGTGTATATATGTATATATATGTGTGTGTGTATGAATGTGGGATTCATTGTGTATATACATGGGTACAGCATGATTTGGTATTTCATCCTCCAGTATTTCCTCATGCCCTCCTGTCTTCCCTCTCTTCTCCATTCCCTTCCTCTACATATTTCCCTTCTATTTTTGTGAGATCTCCCTATTTTAATTCCTTTTTTTTTTCTCTTCTCTCTGTCTCTCTCTTTTCCACATAAGAGAAAACACTGGACCTTTGACTTTCAGAGTCGTGCTTATTTCTCTTAGCATGGTAGAACAAGGACAACTTTTTGTGTAACTGACCATGATATAAACCAAATGTAGGTCATAGTCAAAACTCTGAAAGCAACAGGCCTAGATTCTGCTGGAAACTGTTTGCATCTCATTGGTTCCTGAGGGGCCTGATATTTTCCTACCAAGACCACTGAGCCTTCCCAGGAAGCCTCTCATTCATTCTATATATACCTCCCAGGGGCAGTGATGAGCACTTACCTTCCATGCACAGGAGAGAATAGGGCCAGGGAAGCCTTTCCTGTTCAAAGCTTGAGCATGGTTCCTAAGTGTAACCAGCTCCAGGTTGGCTTTATGTAGCTTCTCTCAGTTTGGGAAGGAAAGGGGAGGAGAAGAAAGATATCTTCCTCTCCTTGTCCAAGTTTGCAGTGTACTGAGAAAATGCATTCTCCACAAGACACTTAGGGTTTTTTTTTAATTCCACTTAATATAATTATGTATTTAGCTCACTGAAGGGCTTTTCATGTCAAGGAGATGATGACTTAAGAGAATAAAAGCAAGGGCTTCCAAGGGAGACAGAAAAAAAAGCCAAGAGGATCAGGAAGAGGTTCAACAATGCAGGAAATCCAGCAGGCTCAATTAGTGAAAACACGTCAGCACCCACAACGCCTGATTTGGCCACAGTCCCTTGGGAGTTAATGACATGAGTAAGAGGAGAGGTGAGCCCCAGAGACAAGACTCCTGGCGCTAATGAATGACTAACGCAAAGTCAAGGGTATAAAAGGATCAAATTACATAATCATATCCTGATATATTATCAGATTTTTTTTTTTAAAAAGGAGACATTAAATCAACGATTTGCCTGCAGGGAGTTCTGAGAAGTGAAACTCCTGTCTTCTGAGAAATCAAAACCTGAGACAGCCCTGCTCTCATGGAAGCCTCCATCCCACAACTCAGGTCTGGCTCAGAGGATAGGAGCTTTCTTTGGCCACTGAATATAATGCTCCACCTCTCGCTCTACAATCACTTGCTATCACAACACTTTATTTTCTGTGGAATACTTAATAATAGCATCTTAGAATTAGTTTCACATAAGCAGAGACTTCAGTCATCTTCTTGAACGTAGATTCCTCTAAACTTAGAATGAAGCATGGAATCTAATTTCAGAAAGGTATCACTAATGTCCATGGAATTCTTTTTTTAATATTTATTTTTTAGTTATAGAGGGATACAATATCTTAATTTTATTTTTAAGTAATGCTGAGGATCGAACCCAGTGCCTCACGCATGGCAGGCGAGTGCTCTACCTCTGAGCCACAATCCCAGCTCCATGGAATTCTTAACTACATGGCAGTCCCTCTTTGAAGAATCTTATGTGTCTAAGATAATTTATGCTCTCACAACCACTCTGTAATGGAGTATTAATATTGTTTTTGATGTGCAAGAAGGTGCTGGGTAGAGCTGGTTTTCAAATCCTGGTAGGCTGGCTCCAGAGTCTTCCCCCCTTTTAACTTCATAATTTCCTGCCTTTCCTGGTAGATGATCAGGGATGTTTGCTGAAGGGGCAGATGCATGTGTGCATGATATTTGAGGAGTAATCCATCAGAAGGGCAAAAACAATGGAATGCTATCCATAATATATAAAAGTGGCTGTAAATATTAAGAAGACAGCCTATCATCGCAGAAATGCAAACTAACACAATAATGAGATCTACATTGATCTATTTAAAAATATTTAAAAGAATAATGATAACCTATTTTATTGAGGGTATATGGAAATAAGCTGTCTCATATACTAACTATGGGAGTGAAAGTAAATTCATACAGAGAAAATCAGTTAATTACCATAAAAAAATCAGTCAACTACCATCAACATTTAGAATGGATATTGCCTTCAATCCAATAATTGTTCTTGAAAAAATGTTTAGTATAAAATATCTACACATGGGCTGGGGATATAGCTCAGTTGGTAGAGTGCTTGCCTTGCAAGCACAAGGCCCTGGGTCCAAACCCCAGCACCACCAAAACAACAACAACAACAAAAAAAAAACTACACATTTAATTTCAATAGGGACATCTGTTGCAGCATTGTTTATAAGAGCAAATATTAGAAATAATCTGAAGGTCCATCAATAAGGGATAGTAACAAACTAAACAAATAAACAAATGTATTAAATAAATTGTGCTTATATACCCGAAATGAAAAACTCTTAGTTGTTACAAGTTCTTAATAGACTAACATGCACTGACATGGAAAGATTTCATGGAAAGATGTATGATGCTTTTTTAAAAAGCAAATCTACAGATAATACATTTTATATAATCTAATCTGTGTAAAACAAGTTTATATCATCTAGTATTATTTGGAAGCTGTTGATCAAATTGTTCACAAGAATTTTAAGCCTAGATGTTTTCCTATGGGGAAGGAGCAGGACTTGGAAAAAAAAAAATATATATATATATATATATATATACATACACACACACACACACAAAGCTGGACTTGGATATAGGGGAGAGGAGGGGATAAGCCTGTGAGGACAGCAGGGCCAGGCTAAGGAGAGGCTTGGCTCCCAGTGCTGTTTGGTTCAGTGGTAACAGGTATTTCTAACCCTCAGGGGAGATAAACTGTTACACGTTTCTAAGGGTAATTTATCAATATTTATCACAAAACAAAAGA